TTATTCTTTTTATTATCATACACACATATACAATATTTTAATATCTCATTATCAATCGCGATGATAGATCATTTCTATAAATTCGACAGACAGATGACTATTACTTAAAGTTTATAAATTAATATAAAAAATGATATATGTAAAGAAAATAAATGTAATAGAAGATATACAACGTACGCAATGTAAAGAATGAAAATACTTATTTGCATTGTAACTAATAGGAATGATAATAAATAAAGATTGCATATGATAATGCACACATAATATTAATATTTTTATAAAACATCTCAAGTATAAAGGAATATATTTTTAATCACTTTTGTCTTTCTTTATACAAAGTATATGTACAACTTAATACATTGTAGTTTGATATTTCGTCAATTACAAAATAATAGCTTTCTTTTTTTAAGAAAACATTTCCGGATATTTTTTTCATCAGTACCAACTGCTTCGATAATTATAATCTCTGTAAAAGTATCCATCCAAACCGTTCAATGAAAGAATATATTTTATTATGACATCAATCTTATTATCAATTTTTTTTGAAATCATGAAATCATTTTAAAAAATCAATAAATTCTTTCATCAGATTAAAAAAAAGTAATATAGATTTTAAAAATATTTTCAAATCTTTGGAAAAATCTTTATGCATTTCAATATGCAGAAATTTATGACGTTATTATTCTGTATAAATATTTTGTATATTTTTATAAAGAAATACATTCTTAATGTGAAAATATTTTGTATTCAATCTATTCTCAAATTCCTTCTGAACAAACAGTCAGAGTAAATAAATTCTTTAAGATGGATGTGTAACAATATTAGATATAATTTTCTCAATATAATTTTTTAAAATATTTTTTTGTTATCTGGCAAAATAATTCTGTCTGATTAGGTACATCAGCATAATTTATCGCATATATTGCACATTTAAAATATTTTATATATTAGGTTGTACCATAAGAAATTGCTGTTTTTATTGACCAAAATAAAAATACCGTATTTTAGAAAGAACAAATTTTATTCCAATAAAACACGCATCATTAGGCTTAGGATTTGGAATTATCTTAATTCATTTTCAAGATTTAGATTTTGAGGAAATGTATCAATTATCATCGAATAGTCCTTTCACTAACAGAGTTTTCTTTCGTATTAATATTTCTATTTATTTGAGTTGCATTACGTCGTAATTTCAAATTCCATATAAATTAATAATTTTTTATATGGAAATAATAATTTCCATATAAAAAATATTTACAATTCTTTCATTTTATATTGATTATTTTTAAAAAATTATCTTATTTCTATGAAGAAGACAAAAAACAATTTAATTTGATTAAAGAAGATTATAAATGATATTGTGTTGCAAGCTATGAATATCATAATTGAAATATTTTATTTCAATTTCAAATTAATTAAAAATCAACAATTTTATGTAGTACAACCCAATCCTTTTATTTCTGATACTGTCGTAGTTGTTTTTTAATGACAGAAACTTGTAAAACTTTTTATTAGATATTTCTTAAAGCTAAAGCATTGCGTTAACAAAGAAAAACTATCTAGCAGTTACTTTTTGTTAAATAATTTATATATGGAACATGTAAGTTTAGCAGAGAACTTTTTCCATTTTTGATATCTTTATTAAAAAAAATATACAAAATAATTCATAGTTTACGATTTCCTTTTGTAATTATATTACATACCGTGTGTATTTTAATCCTTTAGCTACGAATGGCCACAGAGCATATTCTGCATATTCACGAGTATTAAGCTATTCCTACATACGAACGCCCACTATAAGGGTCATGGCACACAAAAACGTAAGTAATAAACGAATTGGCCAATCACAGTAGGAACTGTAAGTTAATAACATAAGTAGTAGCAACATGTTGATTTCTTAATTGTTTACGTTTTATTGCTTAAGTTTTTTGTGTGCCATAACCCTAATGCACAATAGATACGTATCTACCGTGGGCAAAGTTAAAATGAGAATAAGTTTCCAAATAAGTATGCTAAAAAAACATATCTCAAAGATTCTTTAAAAGTTCAAAACATCGAAGATATTGAAATATCTTAAAGATTTCTTTAAAAAAATAATTTTGTTATCTTTTTGTTTGATTTTATGTTCCAAAATGTATGATAGTATTGAAAACCTAAGTGTGAATTATGGATTTTTTAATATCATCAATACATTTCGGAATATACTGTACGCGTGTTTGGATTACAAAACGATATCTATTGGTCTATACAGAACAATAAAAAAATTATTTAAGATAATTTTAGAATCTGTCGCATTATCACAAAGTAATTTAAATAAATATTTTATCCGCGGCAAAGCAAAAAAAACTTGTAGTTTTTTGTATGATAATAGCATTTCCTCGATTAGTGCTCTGCTGTAGCAAAAGGGTTAATTTTCTAGATTATTTGGGCCTTAAAATCTTAGTTTATCAAAATGTGGTATAATTTTAATCAGAAAAGTTTTATGCGAAGAATACTGTATTGCTTTAAGTCTATAAATATAAATTAACAAATTTTACGTCTAAGTCAGCCGTCAACGATTTTTTTTTCATAAGATAAAAAAAATTCACAAATAAATCTCGCATTTCTCATATAAAGAACATTGTATGTAATACAATAATATATTCTTTATATATAAAATGTCGCAATTATATGACGACTTTACTTAAACTATATCACGGTTTTCTCTTCAGAAATCAAGACATGTCGTGTGTCATAGTCATTGACAATACAGCAACAAGTAAAACAATTAGTAAAAGGATAGTAACCAAGGGGAAGTGTGATTGCACACGTAAAATAGGCCGAATGCGAATTTGTCCAATTAGCCATTCGATATATGTTTAAGAGGACCGAGACTTAATATGGAGGTAGCACCAAGCGCACCCAGATTGCAGCTGCTTGTATTTCTCGCACCGTCTATTGTAATTATCGGTAAGCCGAAGTAACCACCAGTTTGAGCACTTAACTGCGATAAGGGTATGTAATTTTGAATGCCTAAATTTGCCAAACGATTTAAAACATGTGGCGATTTTAAATCCACGACAGGCAAAGCTAATTCTGTGCCTCCATTTTGTGCCACGGTATCAACTTCTTTGTGGTAAGTCTGTTTGTGCGTTGTTAACGCCTGAACTGTAGGATATTGAGCTGGACAAAGATTACACCTTAAAAAGAAAGGGATCGATCAGTTCTATTCTCATATGTGTTACTATTTAAAGGAAAATAAAACTCACGAGCGAAGTAATTATAACTCACCTGTGAAGCAATTTGCTGGTCGTTCGATGAGTTGCCATATGTTGCGTCAACATATCTTGATTTTGAAAATTCTTATCACATACCTGACACGTTAATAATGCTCTAGAAAAGATAAATATTGTGTCTTAATGTATTTTATGATTGTTGATTAGTAAATCTAATCATAATTGTGAGATAGAAGTATAACATGCGAGCAATGATATAGACCATTCTCACCTCGGCGGTCGACCACGTCTAACTACTGGCATCTGCGGTGGAGTATCCTGCGTTAGATCCACTGTTGGTGGTCTTGGAGGTCGCTCGACTTGGTCATTGATTGGCGATTTGTTTTGCTTGTTTTGTGGAACAGCAAACTGCCCTTCTTGTTGCTTTCTTTGTGAACTAGTTGGTATGATAGAAATAGCAGAATTCAGATTGAGCGCTGTAACATTTAAAGGCTGCTGTGAAGGTGATGGCCTCTGCTGCTGCTGGGAAGGTATTTGCTGTTTGTTTTGTTCACTTGTCTTATTTTTATTTGCAGCTGGAGTAACGGTTATACCTCGAGCCGCGAGGACATTCGCCACCGCCTTGGCATCGGATTTCTTTCCTCCCGGATTCGACGTGTTCTGTACTTGAGCTGGGATGGAACCTTCAGATTAGTAAAAGACAATGCTATTTTATTGTAATGCACCCCTTCTGCGAATATAGTAATATAACGATTCTCTTTGAAAGATTTTTTATATACAACTGCAGCATATATATGCAACAAAATAAAATAAAGGAAAAGTAAATAGCAGACAAAGCATTATTTCATTAAAATAAAATGTCAAAATTAGCTTCAGCAGAAATAACAGCAATTGTCATAAGAATTTTCAATCGATTGATTTATGCGTCGTCTACAATGAATGGTAGCAATAGAGATTCGACGTCAAGCCGATGTTAATTCAACATCACTCGACATTAATTCATGATATTGATCGATCACTTGTAGCTGGAGATGTAAGTAATAGATTTCAACCATTTCGCTTACGGACTTACTCTGCGCCCTGTTACATTCTCAGCTACAAGTGATTGATGGAGCAATATCGAATTAACGCCGAGCGACATTAAGTCAGCATCAATTTGAGGTTGATCGATCAACCATTTCTGGCTAGGTTGAAAAACCAGCTTACTTCCGACATATCTACAGCCTCTACTGCTACTGTTCATTGTAGACGACAGTTTATACATTTAGATACAGTGAGGAACTAAGGATAAGAACCAATCATATTAAAGAATTTTACAATAATAGCAACGCTATTTTTTCTACTAAACGCAATCATTGCAAAAATAAATTGTACTTATTTTGTTTGCATAAAAGTAACTGAAAAAAATTATTAGACGAAATCATAGAAACCAAATTTCATAGAAGAGGCACTTTACACAGGCGCATAAAAAAAATGTAAGCAGTAAAAAAAACTTGAAACAATTGATTTTTTATGATATGTTATAAACCTACCAGGTTGCCGAACACTTAAAGTGATTGAATCGGTGAGATGTATCGTAGAATCATTTCTATTAGTTTGTTGTGTAGTAGCTCCTTGAACATTTTGAATAACAGGTAATCCGTCATTTCTTTTCTGTTGAGCTATGACATGGCAATCTGCGTCTTCATTTCTATCAGGTAATAGAACATCCATTCGCCTCTGTTTTGCAGAAGCGTTATTTTGTTGCGTTATAGGTTGTTGCAAAGGCCTTTTCATGCGCTGACGAGGAACTGGACCCGTGGTTTGTGGTAACCTCGGTGCCCTGAAAGTTAAAGATACTATCTAATGAAAATGCTCGCGTCTGTATGCAAGATTTACGCTTACCTGCTATTTTGAACAACAGATGCTGATGGATACCGTCCCCGTGGAACTTGTTGGGGTATTTGGGGATGCATTTGCGGAGGAGGTGCAGGTATTTGAGGATATGGACCCGGAGGATATTGATACAAATGTGCCATATGGGGTGGATAATGTATTCCTTGTGGTCCAGGTACTCTATACAATGGTGGTCGTCCTGGTGGTTGTACAAAATAATTTGGTGCAGGTATCATTGTGTTGGCTCCTGGAGGAAGACTAGGGGGCATTTGCGTCTGTGGAAGAGGCATACGCTGCACTTGCTGGGCCAGTTGCTGTACAGGTGGTGGTAGTTGTTCAAAGTTTACCGGCGGTATTTGCATTTGTTGGCCAGTAGCACCGCCTGTTGCCGCTGCTGCCACAGTCGCATTAAATGTCGGTGAATGCGTCTGATGTGGCGACGTTAAGGGCGAAGTCCTACTGAGTGGATGCGAACCATTCGTTGATGATACCTCTACGGACGAGGCAGAAACGGCATGAGGCGAATGTGTGGCTTGACCCAAGTGTGATGTATTTGTATTCGACGGCAAATGATGAGGCGACAGTTGGCTCACGTTCGGCGAGAGTGGAGTACCATGTACTTGTGCTCGATGTATCGATACTTCCACCATAGAGTGAAAGATGAGATTGGTACATTCTGGTATATTACATTGATAATGACCGGCTTTACTACGGTGTTCATCTAAATGGGCAATATCTTTGAATTTTTCATTGCAAACACGACATGTGTTGACAGTCTCCGCTAATTTCTCAAGGGGCACGTACTCTGCTGTTTCGTTAGATGACATATTGTTCGACAATGACACCTCATTTGGATTGCGCCTCTGATGTTCAATGAGAAAACTTTGCAAAATCGATCCAGCATTATCCATGTTAGCATCACTACAAGTATCCCCTTGTTGTTCATTATCTTCCTTATTGAAGTCTTCATTGCTCTTATTTGATAAATCAGATAGTTGATTCCAGTTGAAATTTTGTGTTTGCGATGCATCAGTCGATTCTCTGTTCTTATCTTCATTATTGCATACCGGAGCGCGTTCGGTTGCATGATTAGGAAATGTGAAAGACTTTGGATTAATGCTGATGGAAGGATTCTGTTCAAGATTATGTATTATATTAGATCCACTTCTGTCGTCTTCTTCTTCTACTGACGAATTGTCAATTAGTTGACTAGTCGATCTGGAACTATAAAGAAACTAAATTTAGATTGCATTTGATTTGGATATTCACACATTGTAAGTTTCTTTCTATCTTTATTAGTCATTACATGAAAAAAAATATTATGATCAAAATATCTGATAGTTGCAGCATAAAAATTTGTATAAACAAAGTGAATGTGAAGGCTATCACATATTTGCAAAAATTGAAAATTTACTATTAAGCAAGCTTTATAACAAAGTAAGTTTCATGTTTTCTCTTTGATTTTATCTTGCCATTTTCATCTTAAATCATATACACATTATAACATTTTTATCATTCAATACATAAGTTTTGAAAAATTTATAATTTTAGTGTAATAACTGATAACAGAAGAATAAATATTCTTTATTTTCTTTTTGTTTCTGTTTCTTTTTGTAAGCAACTCTAAAATGACAATTTCTTAGTTATGTTATAGTAAATAAGCAACATAATCTGATAATAACAATAATATAATATTTATTAATATCCAATATTATTATCCATGAACTTACCTTGATTGTTCACCGAGTTTTTTCAAGTTTTCAATAGTTTCTCTGCATGTCGCTTCCAAAGCGTCCGTATCCTCATGATCTTCAGATTCTGAAAGCCTTTTTTCAGAACTGTCACAGTTATCGGTATTTGGTGTATCATCGACATTTTGATCATCCTTCTCAGATGGATTTGCCATATCACTCCCTACATCAGAGTCGCTCTCATTGATTTCTGTGGACGGTCTTTCATTATCTTCCAGAGGATTTTGATGATCGGTGTCCAACTTGACATTGTCGTAATCATCCTACAAAGAGAACACAAACAGAAAATAAAAAAAAAATTCTTCAACATCAGAGTCTACAAGGAGACTCACTTGTTGGTCCACCATCACGTTTTCGAAAGGTTCGTTGATCGAGTTCTCCGCTGCCTTATCACCTCGTGGATCATTTTCCTTAGCACCTGCCACGTCTCTCTGTTGATAGTACTGAATAACAGGATAACAATTATTGTTCACTACGGTGAAATCTTCCGACTCCGAGGACTTCTTTAAGGTAAGCTTCAAGGATTCGGCAGCTACGTTTTGTTTCTTCAGGGTCAACTTCAACAAACCGGTCTTTTCAGGATCCAGCCAGTATGTTTCCTTTTTCACCTTCACCACTTTCGGATTTGCTACCCTCTTGAGGACAATACGAAGCTTCCTCAGATGAGTGTTGATGTGAATACGCAGCGGTTTCTTCGAGGTGAAACGCTCACCGCAAATGTCGCAATCCAGAAGCAAGTGCTGATCGTTCAAGCTGTCGTCTGACGAGTTGGGAGTGCCCTCGCTAATGTCTGAAACAGAACGCATGAGGTCCCGGTCACTATATCTTCTCTGATGAGAAGGTTACATCTTCCCGTGTCGTATTCGCGCCTGTATATCTCATTACACCGCGTGCACACACATCGTTCGCGCTCACGTACACGTCAGAAAGTTTGTTGGTGCGCAGAAGTTACATCGTTTCTGCTGGGGTAGGGAGAGAAAGAGTGAGAGAGAAAGAAATGAACGCACGGAAGAAAGAGAACTAGAGAGAGAGAGAGAGAGAGAGAGAGAGAGAAAGAGAGAGAATAGATTCAGGTAACAAACGTACTCGAGATGTTATGCCACTAAAGAGATCTATCCCTAAATGATCTCTGGTCACAAAACGTCGTTGGTAAGCCACTTGTGATTTATCGCGCTTTCCTTCATCAATGTTAAACTAAAACCAGTTCCTTCATCGAGGTTCACCGAGGTTCTGCCTCAACTTGACGCGGTTATGCGCGAGCGCACGTTCACGTAGTTAACACCACGTCCTACGTAGAATGTGGGGGAGACGCGGTTCAAATTATGTATATACCGGTTACATACGTATATACATATTTATTTACATGGAGAGGCGCGTAAACAAATCGACGCGCGCGATCTAAACGCGCGGCAGGAATCGGCGGTATACTCGCCACTACTCGCGCAAAATGGCTGACGTCGAAGAATAATTGCTACTCTCGGCCGAGAATTGAAAACACGATTCGCCAATCGATACGCGGCTAAAGCGCGCGCCGCATTGGCCGCTTTCGTATCGGCGCGCGATTTCCCATCACCGATTGGTCGGTCCGGCGACGCGGCGATGTCTATCACGCCCTCGACGCCGAGCAGCGGCGAGTTCTGAAAGTACTCCGGAAAAGTGCTCGTGGAACACTCGGAACACTTCAATGTCTCCAATTTCCTTTGCTGACTGAACTCTGCGAACGACCGAGTTTTCAACCTTTCAACTGTGAATCATCAATCGATTGCTCATCCCGGTTTATCCTAAGATTCGACAGAAAACATAAAGGAACGGAGATAAAGGAATTTCAAGTTCGTCCGAGGTATAAAACAGATTTTGCATGTTCATTCTAAAGAAAACACACAAAAAAAACAAGGAAAGACTTCGGGACGCGAACGAAGGTCTATTTTCTGTGGCTGAACCAGTGTACACTTTTGGAATTTAAAGTGAAATAGGTATATGTTTGATGTTTACCGAAAGCGAGAAAGAGACTTTTAGACTTGCAGGAAACTCTAGTGCAGGAACAGAAAACAGACCACTAGTAAACAACTGAGGAACGCTCGTCACGTTGCTTCGAAACGTTTTAAGGAAATTTGGAAAGCGAAAAATAAGAGATGACGCACACTTGAGTAATCATTAATACGAAAAAATTCGATGAACGAGCAGCGGATGTCTCGTTGCTCGGCAACATCGTCTTCGTCGACGAAGTGAACGAGAGAACCTATTCTCTCTCGACGAGTAAAAGCAGAATCGCGATGGAACGTGTTCGTCGTGAAAATGTATTGCGCGATACGATTATGCGCGTCCTTCTTGCCGCGTGTTTACGAATTCCTAACCTATACGGTCGACGCCGAAATGATCGGAGTTTTACTCGAGTAACTTTCGCACACGTTCGCGTCAAACGAAGATTTATGAAAGTTCGAATATACGATACTAATGATCATATAATATGTATAAATGCACCGAGTCCTGTATATAACAATATTTATGAAATGTTTTATCAGAGATGTATACATCATAAATGTATATTAAGATATTAATCTTGATTTAAAGAAAATAAGAGACAATTAATGCGAAAGAAAAAAAAAATGTTGCTGAAAAGCGCTCGGATACTTGCACAACGAGATCAGACGCTGTAGCTGTTGATAGTTGTAATTCATAATTATTTATTGGATCGTGTCTTTCATAATGCCACTTTATAACATTTAGAAGAAAATACATATAACACGAGATGATAATAGGAGATACATAGAACTTCTTTGTGCAAAACAATAGAAATAGAGATACATTGCTAATCCGACAGTTATAAAAGTTTATCACAAAATTATAAGTTCGCAAAATAACACAGAGTAATATAGAGTAATACTCATGAACATTATAAAGTATAATACCATCAAAAAATCATGAAAAGAGAATGTTGATCAGAAACTGAGGGAAAATAACTTTTTTTTTTCGTAAAATAAAGAGAAATATCAAGACAATTGTAATATCCATATACACATTTATCAGTACATCTATAAGATAGATATAAATTGTTTCTCATTATAGATTTTCATGATTAAAAACGTAGAATGAATATTAGGAGGATTCATCTCCATTCATAAGAAGCAGAAGCAAAGTTAAAAACAGCAAGTATATATAATACATAAAGCTTAAGTTTACTTCAATGGAGAAGATAAATTTTGCAAAAAGAATAACAGTGATATTAATAGTAATGATTAAAATTCACTATTACAGATAATTTTAATATA